GGAGGGTTGGGCAGGCAGCGCTGCCTGGTGGTGGCACGGCCTGTAAGTAGGCAGGGAACAAGGGGCGAGCGATGCCCGCGGGTGGGCAGGCAAAGGGAGCTGTGCCACTGGAGGGGTGGCTGAGAACAGGAAGGCGACAGTGGTGGGCAGCAGGGGCACCCACCTTGGCCAGGCTGGCGGTGAAGAGCACGCACTCGAAGAGCTCGCCCATGCGCTGCAGGAACTCGTCCACGTGTGGCCGCTTGAGCACGTACACCTGTGGGCAGAGGGCAGCGTGCCGTGGGCACCCACAAGCTGTCCCCCACCCCACACCCCCCAGGGACACCCGCGTCCCTCATCCCAGCCAGTGCCTCCCTGCCAGGGAAGGGGGACGGAGTGCTGCCTGTGCCCCATGCCGTGGGGGGCTGCGCCGCGTGGGGCTGGGGACGCCACGACCTCGCTGGCACGTCCAGGCCGAAGCATCTGGCTGGCTCTGGAGCCAAGTAACCGAGAACAGGCTGACTGCCCAGACCACAGCCTATCCTGGATTACTTGAACCCAGGGCTGGCCGCTGCTGGAGTCTGCTGTACCAAGACACCCCCTCACATCACTGAGAAAAGGGACACCCACCTCTGCCCTCCAAGATGCTGGCCCTGACACCCTGACATCCCTGACTGCCCCTGGATGCAGAGTGCTGGGTCAGCTCCCGGTCCCTGGGGAGGGGGTGGAAGGGGGCTGTGCCCCTTCACCCTGTTACCTCGTGCATGACGCCATCGATTTCCACGGGAATGATGAGGGTTCATGACGCCATCGATTTCCACGGGAATGATGAAGTCAGCGTTGTTCACCGGCTGGGGAGGGCACAGCAGGGTCAGTGCCAGTCAGACACCCCCTGCCCAAACGCTGCCTACCCTCTGCCCACCACACACCCCCCTGCCAGCCCCATGCCCCCTGGCAGGGACACCCCATCCCACCCAGCAGAGTGGGGTGAGGTGCTAGGCATGGGTGCCTGGGTGTTGGGCATCACACGAAGGGAGCAGAGCAGGAGAGGGCAGGTAGGCCAGGGTATCCCCCACCTTGAAGGAGCTGTGCACCAGTGTCTCATCCAGGTCGATGACCACGCACAGCTTGCTGGCGTCCTGCGGCTTGATCTCGGGCAGGAGGTGTTTGACAGCAGCCTGCGGAGAGCAGGCACAGGCAAACCCAGGGGTCAGGGGGGTGCCGAGGGGCACCCCCTCCTTTCCTGCCCACCCAGATAGGAGGCATGGTGCAGGGGAACTCTGTTTAGCCCCCACACCTGGGCACAGGGGAAGCACTGGGGATGGGCAGTTCTGCCCAATTCCCCTGCCCAGTGGCAGGCATAGGGGCGGTGGGGGGTGTACCTTGGGCAGGGCCCCGTTCTCCTCCACCAACAGTGGGGCACTGGTGGTGCCAGCGCAGGGCTCGCCCTCATCCCGGCACAGACAGCAGAAGAGGGACTGGA